GATGTAGCAGAGCAGCAGCTTGGGACAGAGGAGGCATTGCTGATTCTACCTCATGGCTATGACCCGGATGAGGAGGATGAACCTGTCTACTGTTTTCTTGCCCCTGCACCAGAGGAACCAGCTAGCATGGAGGAGGCATTAGCTGGACCAGATAGGGAGAAGTGGCTGGTTTCTAGGGATGCTGAGTACCAGAGCCTACTAGAGAATGGGACATGGGATCTGGTGGTGCTGCCCGATGGGAAGAAAGCTGTACAGTGCAAGTGGGTGCTAAGGATCAAGACCGATGACAAGGGACGGGTCACCATCTACAAGAGTAGGCTGGTGGCTAAGGGGTTTATGCAGAAGGAGAAGCGGGACTTCAATGAGATTTTTGCTCCCACTGCCAAACCCCCTACCCTTCGTGTCTTGTTGGCAGATGCAACCGTTAGTGGGAAATTCATCATTCAGATGGATATATCAACGGCATTCCTCAATGGGATTTTAGAGGAGGATGTGTACATGACGCAGCCGCCTGGGTATGAGGATGGTACAGGCAGGGTGTGCAAGCTGAAAAAGTCCATCTACGGCTTGAAGCAGGCGCCACGCTGCTGGTACCAGAAGTTGGCAGCTGTTTTAGAGGAGATGGGATTCAGGACCAGCAGCTATGATGAGAGCCTCTTTCTCAAGGGGGAGGGGGAGAAGCTGGTGCTGTTTCTGGTCTATGTGGACGACATTCTTCTCTTTAGCAGCAGCATGAAGGAGATCCAGAATGTGCAACAGCAGCTGATGGAGAACTTCAAGTGCAAGAACCTTGGGGAGGTAAAGTACTACCTCGGGATGCACGTGGAGAGGGATCTGGATCACAGGTGGTTGAAGCTGCACCAGGAGAAGTTCATCAAGGAGCTGGGGGAGAAGTATGGGATTGAGAATGAGCGCAAAGTTGCAACTCCCCTGCCAGCAGAATTCAAGCTTGTGAAAGCTGCAGAGGATGAAGGGGTTGAAGCCGAGGAGCAGCAGCAATTTCAGTCCTTGGTGGGCAGCCTCTTGTATGCAGCAGTTCACACAAGGCCCGACATCTCTTTCTCGGTTGGGCAGCTGGCTAGGGTGGTGCAGAATCTATCAGAGGAGCAGGTGGATGCAGCTGAGCGTGTGGTGAAGTATCTGAACTCTCACCCAAGCATTGGAGTTCAATACTCCGCATCTGCACAGGTGAAGCAGAAAGGGGTTGAGGTGCTGAAAGAGAAGGGGGAGCGGCTTGGAGAAGGCAAGCTGTTTCTCACTTGCTTTACTGATGCTACGTGGGCCTCTGAGAAGGAGGATTCCTCATCTGTGGGAGGATACATCTGTGTAGTTGGGGGAGGACCTGTTAGTTGGAGGTCAAAAAAGCAGACGGAGACGGCACTCTCTTCCGTGGAATCAGAGTACATGGCGATGGTCCATGGGGTGAAGGAGGTGATTTGGCTGAGGAGGCTGTTAGAGGAGATTGGCCAGGGGCAGAAGGTTGCTACGCCACTGTTTTGTGATAGCAAGGGGGCTCTTGGGATGGCCAGGAACGTTGTGCTTCATGGGCTGAACAAGCACATGCGTATCAAGTGGCACTGGCTGCGTAAGGAGGTGAAGTGGGGGACGGTGAATCCGATCTACATCAAGACTCACCAGCAGCCAGCAGACTTCCTCACCAAGAGGCTTGCGGATGAGCCTCATTGGCGTTGTGTGCGCATGAGTGGAATGAGCATGAACTAGTATGGAATGATGGGGATGCAGCCGGCAGGCTGAGGGGGAGTGTGTTGGGTGCAAATTCACATTGCACGACATCCTGCCGTCTATTTGTACGAGTATGCGTGTGCGAATGCATTTGGGTGTGAATGGAATTTTCGTGTGTTTGTTTGCTTTCGCAATTTTCGCTTGAAGCATTTGCAGGTACTCGCGCATTGTGCGCTTCGGCACAACATTGTACGCGCTATGAACAGTACAAGCAGAAAGGACGAGCTCGCAAAGGAACCCAAGATGGAAGCTTTGCGGTTCGGTTGAATTGATTGTGCAGATTCAGTTCTATCCAACTCGAAATTGTACTGTTTTGTTTGATTGACTATAGTGTAGAAGGGCAGGCACTATAGGGGTACAATTTAGGTGAAGGTTGGATGTTGTTTGTCTGCATCTGCATGCTACAGGGCCAGGGGAAACCAGCGGAACCAGTTTTTGGCTGGTTGGGCAAAGACGAAACAGGTTCTGTTTTTAGGACCTGAACCTGGTTGTTGTTTTCCCAGGTTGGAAAAACAGAACCAGAGGTTGTTTACCAACCTACCACCTGCTGTTTTGTCTAGCCAGGTTGGTTCTGTTGCTTGGAATTATTTGGGATCATCCCTGATTGTTCCCAGGTTCATTCCCAAGGTCCTTGCTAGCTAGAACTATTTATTCCTTCTCTGTTTGTACCTGGATATAGTCAATTTTGATTCAAGCGAATTCCTTCCTGGAATTTCGTTTCTACGCGGTGCGACGGCGGAATGCTACCCGAGTCAACGCTAGTACGCTAGCACTCCAACACTAGGCAAACGCTGTCCGAGCCATAACTTCGTAATGGCAGAACTTTTCGCGAGGCAACTTGGTTCATTTTAAAGCTATTGGAGTGAGCTTCGATATAGCAAATTCTCAGCTTAATCTGATCGACGGTCTGCACGATACGCTGCGCGACGTTCAAGGTACTCTTGCTGTTTTGACTAAGTCCCACTTGATCCCTCTCTCTACAAACTCGGACCCGAGGATAGGGGCTGGTCTTGTACCAGGCACCCAAGGACCCTTGGAGGTGACCACGAGGAGAGGTTTTAAGTTTGATAAAGTCTTAATAGCTTGAGTTTATTAGGCCCTTACACCAACAGAAACGACACTTGAGTGGATCGTCCTTATCTCGATAGTATCGAGGGTATGCAAGACCGAGCCTGTCATCCAGAAAACTCGTAACCAACCTCCGACGCAAATCCACGGTCAAAGAGCATTCTGAAAAGGCTGGGTAGGGTATTCGGGGTACTACCCTCGCAACATCCGTAAGGGAATTCCAAATACGACTGCCAAAGGAACAGTAGCGTGTTTATGCTGTTCAGTGTACTGTACAAGCAGCACGACGGTGTTGTTGTATAGAGACAAGTTCCTTGCAGAGTGTCACGTGCACACAGCGTCTCGCCTTAAACACTCACTCGATAACAGCTGGGCTGAAGGGGATGATATACCTCAGCCGACGAAAGACGCCGCCCAATTTCGCGGTTGAAATGGGACAAGGGCCCCCCTCGGGATTGACGAGCTCCTGACGACCTGCGAGTGGCAAACTGGGGCGAGCTGGCAGTCCTCCGGGGCCCTGAACCCCTCGGGATTGTCGACAATCTGACGACCTCGGGTTTCGCTGAGAGAAACCCGAGAAGGATATCTCACCAGACCCTGAACCACAGCTCGACACGTCGTGCGCCGAGCCGCGATTACGGCCACGTGGCCTAGTAGGGACGGCCGAGATCGAGCCTGACAATCGGGAGGTGCCACGACGGCGCTGACGTGGCCCCGCTTCGCACCACCGGGTATATTTCGCTGCGCGCGAAACTTGGCGCGCCGATGAAAAATGTCACCATCGTCCACGCGGCGAAAGACAACTGGCTAGGGCATGTACATGTGTCCACCACCTAGATAGCCAGAGAACGCGGGATATTGAGATGTCGGTGTCGCCCGAAGATCCAACCGCAGCAGCACGACCCACGCGGAGTAATCTGAGCGGACCAAACCATGCATAGGCGAAGAGAGCCCCAGACTCAGGGAATGTCGGCGTCGACCAACCCTCCTGCCACGCGCCTACTCGCAGGTCGATGAGGTTTGCGCGGGAGAGCAGGACGCTACGGCATTTCGGGAGAGTGGAACTAGGTGATTGGCCAATTGCACGTGGCGCACGTGAATTCCACCGTGGCAAGGCACCGGCGGGAGTGCCGTTGAGCGCAGAGCGGCGTGACACTAGACATGCATCGATCGTGACACGTCATGCACGTGCACAGCGGCGCTTGCAAAGAGGGCTGCGTGGAGCGCGGCAGGTGCGCAGTGGCTCGCAACCATACCCCTCCTTGACCACGCACAACGCTCTCATTCTGCCGGTTCAGCTTCGTGTTTCTCTCATGCTCATGTGCGCCATCTGGCACTTCGTTTTCTTCACAGGACCCTCGCTATCTCTGCGGGTGTAGGTTACTCGACGGCCGAGTCGACCGAGCGGCGGCACACAGGCGTCGACCTGGAATAGACTGACTTAGGTCGGTGTTGGGGTCAACCATCGTTGACTTCGCCTTAGTAGGTTCTAGGTCGTCATCTAGGAAAGTCGGCGACGATAGATCAGGGCGACGATAGCATCTCCCAACCTTACCGAGTCGGCGACGCATGGCCAGAGGAAGGCCTAGTGCCCAACAGTCGGTAGACGCAGACATCAAAGCGCATCTGGAACGACTCGAGGTCGACGCTGAGTTAGAAGCACTTGAGAGGGAATTCGAGGAAGACCGCCGCAGGACGATTAGGGCGTAAACCGCACCCGTGAATCAGTACCGTCTCTGGTTTACCAATCTTTCCCTCTTCCACGGCCGGCGGTAGAGCATACGAGCGGTCATGGACGACGTCGACATGCCCGACGTTGGTACCCCAACCGACCACAGTCCGTCCTCTGCCCCCGAAGAGACACTGAAGTTGCTTTACGATCTTGACAAACTGACTCAGATTCCCGAAGGGGAGTACACCAAGGACATACCGAATCCGCCAATAGGGGAGTTTACGAAGAAGTCGACGCCGACGTCAGATGGGCAGCCTGGACCTTCGTCGGTGCCGGCCGGCTCGGAAAACCAAGGTGATGACGACGACGAGGACGAGGAAGAGAGCGACGACGAAGTCGACGACCGTCCTCCACGTAGCACAAATCCGCGCACCTTGGAAGAACGCCTTAGGCGGGAATTTGAATACATACTGTACATGACATGCTCGAACAGGACGAGAAGGAGGACAATCAGAACATGGCGGTGCCGCGCGAAGACTGGAAGGCGACAGACTTTGTAGTGGACGACATGGTGTACTCCAGCATCGACGTGCTCGTCATGGACGCCCTACGCCACCTACAATGCTTGGAGAAGGATAGCACGCTCAGGCTGTACACCGCGTTCATCTACCACTACAAGAAGTGGGCGGCGAAGATGCTGAAGCAGATACGTGACAAGCTACCCCATGAGCAACGAATTAGGCACGTCGACGAGATCGGCCACTACATCCGCGACAACAAGAAAAAGGATTGGTGCAACGAGAAAGTGGTCCGCCGACAGTACATCTGGCTGCACCGGCTGCGCGCCTACGTGAAGCAAATGAGCCGTGAGTGTAACCTCATTGTTGACCAGCCCGGGGAGGAGAACAATGCCACGCGAACCGGGCCTGTGAGGTCGACAACTGTGCACACGATCCTTGGGTGCATAAAGGCATGCCAGATGGCGGCGAGGGTGGAGGCGACGCTGTATCGAGAGAAGGAGCTGGGCATCATGAGGGAGATCTCGGTGGTCAGATCGGAGGTGCGGTTCAACGTCCGCCACAAGAACGAGAGGGACATCAAGTAAGTTGGTCGACAACCTTATTCTTTATCACTGTGCACTGTGAAGTCTAACAGATTTTCCCCGCCGATTTGCGTTCAGGAACTGCGCCGACCGTCGACGCGGCACCATCGGCGACACCTACACCGCCGAGCAGTTCCGCCAGATCATGATGAGGGTGCTGCCGACATGGGCGGCGGCGGCGTGGAACCCGCGGGCAACCACTCCGTCGCAGACGATGTGGCGATTCCTGCTCGTCAAGGTGCTCACGCTACTCTCCCACCACTCTCTCCTGCGCGGCGCCAGCATCCGCGAGATCACGCTCCCCGACGTCTTCTTGTACCACCTGGCGAGCACCTCGGAGGTGAACCCGGATAGCCAGCCGGTCGTCATGGTAATCGCCGCGCGTAACTCGAAGACTTCCAAGGATGCCCGTCTTCAGCAGAGCTACGCAGCACGACACCTGGAAGCGGAGCTGTGCGCCGTCGGCGAGACCGGCCTGTGGCTGCACTTCATCCTCGACCAGATCGGTCAGTTCTCCGGCACCGACTTCCTTCCGCCGCTTGACACCAGTGAACGCGAACGCTGGTACAAGAAGCATCTCTTCTTCGCAAAAAACGACAAGGAGCAGGAGGAGCTCCCCGCCGCCACCCACCAACGTTGGACTCGGCAGATGTGGACGACCAACAAGGTGTTCCGCAAAAGGAACGTGCACGCCGCCCGCGCCGGAGGTGCGCAGGAGCTAGCCATCGGAGGGACGCCGCGCGCCGAGATCGCCGAGCTGGGACACTGGGCTCTCGACAAGATGACGCGTGCGTACATCACGGCCATTCCCGTTGGGGTGGTGATGCGTAAGGCCGGCTACTCGGGACTCAAGCAAGACTACTTCTTGGGGCGCAGCAGGGTCGAGCCCTCTGACAAACTCCTGGACCTCCTCGCCGAGCACATCTTCCCCGGCGTGGATGCTATGCTGCGCGATGTATGTCACGCGACGCCGACAATGTTCTTCAGTCGTCGTGGCCTAGTTGGCTGCCCAACTCCCTACTAACCCACGCCACTTTCCGACTTGCAGGCGGAGACGCGTGCCGTCAACGGGAGCGACGCCGACAAAGCCGCAGTGCACTTCTTGCGCACCCTCGTGATGTTCCGACGCATCGTCGCGGAGGACCTCGCGGTGAAGCTCGTCCGCACACTGTGGCACCCGTACGTCCAAGGTTCCAAGCTCTGCAGGATTGCCCTCTTCCAGCACTGGGCGAAAAGGGTCGAGTCGGTCGACACCGATACGATCAAAAAGCGCCGGGACCCGACTCAGATTCAGCCGGAGGTGAGTTGCCGACCATGTCGGCGTCGTTCGAATACCGGTGAATTCTAACCTCTTGTCGCCTTTCCGCACACTCAACATTGCAGGAAATATCCGTCCGCATGGACACCCAGTATCACAACATGTCCCTCAAGGAGGCGCTGAAGAAGGAGGTCGAGCGCTCGCCGCTCGAGAAGCTAGGCCTTCAGGAGACGATCGAGATGCAAAACGACACCATCGCGTCGCTCACCGCCGAGCTTGCTCGAGTCACCGAGGCACTCCGTGTGTCAGAAGCCCGGAGGATGCCGGCGGCGCCGCCGTCGGCGTCCGAGCAAGCTCCGAGCGAGGGTGGCTCCGCGGATTCGGCCAACACGGGGACCGGAGCCAAGAGAGATGATGGGAAACCCCCGCCACCCCCCCAGACGGCAGAGGAGGCCAGTTACGAGCTCAACGTGATGCAACCTTGGCGGGAGGCAAAGACCGTGCGGGACGCTTGGCGCCTCTGGAACTCCGCCACCGCCAATGACACCCGTCGTCTTTGCGACAGGGTCGCCGAGCCGGGGTTCATCGGCCGCCACACCCTCCTCAAAGGCGCGACGCAGGGTGCACTCAACATGAGGGTGCGCCGCATGCTGAAGGCCATGGATGCGGTGCGCCAGCTACGCGCGAGCGACGGCGATGCCGACACCGAAGCCGTGGTCGATGCACTGAACACGATCGCGGGACCGGGCATTGGGACCTTCTGCGATGCCCTCACGGTGCTCAACCCGGAGACGGCACCGACGATGTCCAAGGAGCCTGGCATGGGCGTCAAGGGGCTTGCCCCCAAGGTGGTCTCGAAGCTACGCCTCGCCTGTGCGCTGGTGGCGCTCAAGCTGAAGCCGAGGACGTGGGTCGACCGCCTGTTTCCAGACACCTGGGAGGTGCAGATGCCGAAGATTGTGGCCGACTTGGCCAAGCAGACCGCACCTGCGCAGCGTCCTCCGACAAAGCGCAAGAAGTCGGCATGAAGATCCTCGGTGCATATGTGTTAGCGTAGGTTCATGATGCCCTAATTGAGCAAACCGTAGTGATCCCATCGTACATGTTGATGGTGATACAACACGAACATACATGATCCAACAACACATACATCCGAACCAAATATGTCGGACTCCGACATAGTCGCCACCATGTGTGTGCAATTCATTGTGTCTTATTCATGTCGACATCGCTGACTGCACTTACAAAAAGTTACATGCATGCAAACGGCGCAAACGGCGCCGATCACACTATAACCGAGCAATCATACCATCTAGCGCTCCCTCCGCGCGCCGACTACGCATCCGTGCTGTCCATGCCCGCTCGATATGCGCGTCAAACGGCACATCGATGCCGAACTCCTCGAGTTTCGGCCACCTGGGCGGCGGGGCACATTCCCCAAAGCGCCGACCATTAACCATCTCGGTCTAGCCGACGAGGCTCATTGCCGAGTATATACATGCATACAGCCAGACGCACTATGTCGACACCATACGACGCCGAGTTGTTATACGCCGACGGGGTTCATCGCAGTGTCGCATTTGAGTAACATGGTAGTGATCAGGTCGACCTTGCCGAGGAGTGTTCTAGTAACATGCACTACCAAAAAGTTACAGCCAACAAGAGAAATACGCAACCACAAACGAAAAGCAATCCCAACGAAAACTACACAATCGACGCCGCCCATACCAGGCCATCCTAGCAACAAGACCTCCTTGCGCTCCCTCCTGCCGCCCATGGCAGATTGTTATGCCGACTACGCCGCCGTGCTGTCCTTGCCCGCTCTGCCCTTCTTCCCCTTCTTCCCCGAGCTGTCCTTGCCCTGCTTGCCCCTCTGCCTATTCCTCCCCCTGTGTTCGATATCGTACTCCATATGCGCGTCAAGCGGCACCGCGATGCCGATCTTCTTGAGTTTCGGCCCATCCACGGGGCACATTCCCCAGAACGCGAGGGTTTCCACCGTCGCTCGTGCGATCACTTTGGCCTCGGCTTCAACATCCAACCCCGGATAGGCTTTAGCCAGAGCGGTAGACTCCAGCGCCGGTGCGACGTTGTGCGCAACCTCCCCGAGGGGTTGCTGCCTGCTGATCGCGGCCTCCAGCACCGCCGTCATGACCTTCTTGAACTCGGCGGCGGTAGTCTCGCTCGTGCCGACCACCATCGCCGCCGCCTTCCCTTCGCGCACGGCATCAGCCACCTGGGCGCCGTCGCCCTCGACTAAGCACCACAGGGCGCAAGCGGAGGCCGATAGCGCCTGTGCGACCTTCGCCGACGTCTGATCCGTGTCGCCCTCCTTTCTCGCCGCGGATGCAGCGACTTTCCCATACGCAGCGCACAAGGACACGCGATCAATCATGGCCGGCATCATTGCATCCGACTTCTCCTTCCCTTCCTTCGTGTCGGCATCGACGGGGAACCAGATCGCGGGCAAAAGCGCGTCGTGGTGCGCATCGCCTGATGTCTTGTACGCTCGATACTTCCCGAGGATATCATCGAACCTGTCACGCAATCACACGAAACTGGACGACCATTAGGAACGCCGACGTCGACATCATCGCTTGGCCGACGTGTATCCGACTTACCGTGTCTTTGGGAGGAACGCGCCCCGTGCCCATATCACCGTCCACATCCCAGTCGGCAAGAACCGGACCTCCTCCCACACCGCCCTCCACTGCTTCATCACTGTTTCCTCCAAGCCGGTGAGCTCGGCCATGAGGATCTTGCTGACGTAACCGTCGTAGAGGAGGTACACAATCGAGTGAAGGTAAGCCAGCTCCATCTTCTCGCGGGACTTGCCGATGTATCTACTCTCGTTCCCGACCACCTTAATCTCGCCCACCCACCCTTGCTTGTCGCCCGTGGTGTCGTGGCGGATGCCATGACCCTTCCGTTCTTTCACCTTCACCTTCTCCTCCTCCGTCGCCGCCTCCTCCTACTCCTCCACCTCCGCCTCCTCCACCTCCTCCTCCTCCTTCTCCTCCTCCTTCTCCTTCTCCTTGTCCTCCTCCTCCTTCTCATTCTCCTTCTTCTCCTCCTCCTCCTTCTCCTTCTCCTTCTCCTCCTCCTCCTCTTCCTTCTCCTTCTCCTTCTCCTCCTTCTCCTTCTCCTTCTCCTTCCCTTTCTCCGCCGCCTTCTCCTTCACCATCGCCGTCGCCATCCCCTGTCCTTTCTCCACCGACTTCACCATCGCCGACGTTGCCCGTGTTTTCTTCTGCGAGCTCGGCCTCGCTTTCCCTGCATCGACCGTCCCCTTCCGTTTCGACTTTCCCGCGCCGACCGCAGCAGTGGTTGTCTTTGGCTCTGCTGTACTACCAGTGGGAATCGCCGAGTGCTCCACATGCGCCGAGTCCGAGATGGCCAGAACAGGGGGCTGCTTGGGGCGGTTTACCGCTTCCAACAGGTCCTGGATGGCAGCGATATCGGCGTCGTTGTGGTCCTTCGCCGCCTGTGCAGGGTCAACTGATCCGCCGCCCATGGCTAGCGCTGCACTCACGCCCTTCTCCGCCACCGCCTCGACAGTAGCCGCACCGAGTGTGGGTGCAGCTACGGTTACCGACGTCGGCGTCGCGCTTGAGCTGGCTACCGGCTGAGCCCGTGCTGGCGCTGCCGCAGTACGTGCGCCTAACCGGGCGCGAAGCAAGGCGGACTTTGGGTCCACAGGAGGACGGGCGGCGATGATAGGCGCGGTAGGTGGGGCACTGGACGTTGTGGCGGCGACCTGCGGAGTGACCGAGCGATGTGCTGTTGTGGCCGGCGCGGTACCGACCACGGGAGGCTGCTGCACGTCCTGTCGATGGGTCTCCATGCGGCGGAGCATTTCCCTGAGCGCGTTCGCCTTTGGGGCGGACGGACCAGCGCCGTTAGCCGCAGCATCCACCGCGTCGACCTTGGCGGCAGACGTGCCTGCTGGTGCTGGAGTAGCCGCAAGGGACGGCCCATCGTTGTTGGCGGCTGACGGGGCGACCGGCGCGCTGCTAGCCGCAGGGGGTTTGCGGGGAATCGACGTGGTCCCCGCCACTCCGCCAGACGGTCCCTTGACGGTTTTGGCGCCGCCATCTATCGCCGTTGGTGCGGTCGCTAGACTGGCCGGCTTCTCGGCGACCAATGACGGGGCTGTTGGTCCAGCCTCTTGAGCGGCAACCTGGTCGACAGGGCCCCCCTCCGCACTCCTGATTCCATCGCCCTTGCTGTGCGTCCTTATCACCTTGGCCCCGTTCTTCTTGAGCTGGTCGACCACGCTCGTACCTCCGCTCCCATCGGCTCCCTTGCTCCGCGAGCCGCCTGGACCCACCTGGCCGACGCCGCGGCTCCCATCGGCTCCCTTGTGTCAAACTCATATGCTATAGTCTGTGTAGGCTGTAGTGGGGTAGACAATATGGGGTACAACACTTTTAGGTTTTCCTACTTGTACCCACCTGCTTGCTAGTTCACTCATCCCTAGTTCTTTCACATGGTATCAGAGCAGGTTCCCTAGTGGGAACGTTTCCCAGGGCCCACCGAATATCGATTTTTTTTTCCTGCCCGGAGCGCGCTTCGCCCCTGCCCGGGTCGCGCCCCGTGTGCCTACCCTCCCGTTGCGTCCCCTGCCCTTGGTGGCCCGTCGCGCTCCCCTAAGGCCCCGTAGCGGCCCCTCTCACGGCCCTTCGGGCCCCTTCAGGCCCCTCGTGGCCCCTTCGCGGCCTCCCTTCGCGGCCCCTTCGCGCCCCCTTCACGGCCCCTTCGCGGCCCCTTCACGGCCCCTTCGCGGCCCCTTCACGGCCCCTTCGAGGCACCTTCACGGCCCCCTCGCGGCCCCTTCGCGGCCCCTTCGCGGCCCCTTCACGGCCCCTTCGCGGCCCCCTCGCGGCCCCTTCACGGCCCCCTCGCGGCCCCCTCGCGGCTCCCTCGCGGCTCCCTTCGCGGCCCCGCCCCGCTGCCCGTAGCGGCCCCGCCCCGTCGCCAGTCGCGGCCCCGCCCCGTCGCCAGTCGCGGCCTCGCCCCGTCGCCAGTCGCGGCCCCGCCCCGTCGCCAGTCGCGGCCCCGCCGCAGCGGGGTGGCCAGATGCAGCTCCAGCGACGTCCGCGTGAGTCCCTCACGCCCCAGCAGCTTCGTGAGTGGTACGCTACTTGGGGTTGTCGGGGTGGCCGTAGTGGGAGTCGTCCTGGAGTGAGTAGTTCGGCAGCTGCTTGTAGTGGCCAGGTGCAGCTGCAGCGTCGTCCGTGCGCGGTCCTTTCACCCCAGCAGCTTCGTGAGTGGTACGCTCAGCGTGACGGGTCACGGGGTACTGCTCGCTGTCCGTACGTCATTCGTACTGGTGCTCGGACTGGTCAGCCTTGCGGGATGTTTGGTCACGCAGAGTCCCGCTGCTTCGCCCGTCTGAGCGATGCCTGGCGTACGGAGTTTGGCGACGCGGCTGAGCTCCCCGACTGGGTGGAGCTGCTTAGGCTGAGGGTAGATATCTATACTCTTGACTATGATGCTATCCTCACTGCCATGTATGCATTGCCTACTAGTGATGACGGTGACTGTTACCTGTGTGTTCCGCCTGACCCGGGCATTGAGACTGCTGCTCTAGGTGCTGGTGAGGCTGCTGCTCTAGGTGCTGGTGAGGCTGCTGCTCTAGGTGCTAGTGAGTCTGCTGCCCCAGGTGCTGGTGAGTCTGCTCTCTCAGGTACCACGTCGGCTCAGGCCTCCCACACCTTCACCCTTGACTCGGGTGCTTCCCGCTCCTTCTTTCGAGACCGCACCACACTTACGCCGCTTAGTCGGCCAGTTGCGGTCTCCCTGGCAGACCCCTCTGGGGGTCCTGTCCTTGCCCACTTCTCCACTGTCTTTACCTCCCGAACTTGGTGAGTGGTGCTGATCTACAGGATGGGGGGGTTCACCAGTTCACTCCTGCGAGTCAGCGAGTGACCCACTGCACGTGTGCTCGGACGGGCCGACACTTGGCCACGTTTACCCGTCGGCCGGGGTCGAGCCTGTACACACTGACTACTGGGTCTTCTCCGGTTGCTGCGTCTGGTCAGGTAGCTGCGTCGGGTCAGGTGTCTGCTGCGACGTCCAGGTCTGGTCCTGAGTCTGCCCCCTGCTCGTGTCGTCTCCTGTCTCACCAGACTCTCCTCTGGCACCACCGCCTTGGTCACCCCTCCCTGCCTCGTCTCCGAGGCATGGCCTCCCGTGTCCTTGTCTCTGGTCTCCCCCGGTCCCTCCCTCCTCTTCCTCCAGGGCCTGCCCCTACCTGCGTTCCCTGCGTCGAGGGGCGGCAGCGCGCTGCTCCTCACTCCTCTGAGTTTCCTCCGACAGAGGCTCCACTGCAGACGCTTCACATGGACGTGTGGGGCCCAGCCCGCGTCCGTGGACAGGGTCACGAGCGTTACTTCCTGCTGGTGGTTGACGACTACTCGCGTTACACCACCGTCTTCCCCTTGCGCAGCAAGGGTGAGGTCACTGGGGTGTTGATCGACTGGATCCGCGCTGCTCGTCTCCAGCTCAGAGAGAGTTTCGGCTCTGACTTTCCTGTTCTGCGTCTGCACTCCGACAGAGGCGGAGAGTTCTCCTCTGACCTTCTGCGAGCCTTCTGTCGTGCACAGGGCATCCGCCAGACGTTCACGCTTCCGGCCTCTCCACAGCAAAATGGGATTGCTGAGTGCCGCATTGGCATGGTCATGGACGTCGCTCGTACGTCCATGATCCATGCGGCTGCCCCCCATTTTCTGTGGCCGTTCGCGGTTCAGTACGCGGCGCATCAGATCAACCTTCAGCCCCGGGTCTCCATGCCGGAGACCTCCCCTGCTCTGCGGTGGACGGGGAAGGTTGGCGATGCGTCTGCGTTCCGTGTTTGGGGATCCAGGGCGTTTGTCCGCGACTTGTCTGCGGACAAGCTGTCCCCCCGTGCTGTTCCCTGCGTCTTCCTTGGCTTCCCCCCTGACGCGCCTGGTTGGCAGTTTTACCACCCCACCTCGCGCCGTGTTCTGTCCTCTCAGGACGTCACGTTTGACGAGTCGGTTCCCTACTACCGTCTCTTCCGCTACCACACTGCGTCCCTCCCCCCGCCGCCGCTCTTCTTCGCGCCAGGTCCTCCCCCGGTAGACCCCCTCCCCCCTCAGGGTCCTGCCCCCTCAGGTGTGTCCCAGGTAGACGCAGTCGAGCCTGACGAGGTAGCTGTTGACTCTGGTGCTGCTGGGGGTGCGGGGCCTGGGGGTGCTGAGCCTGGGGGTGCTGACTCTGGGGGCGCTGAGACTGGGGGTGCTGAGCCTGGGGTTGGTGTGCCTGGGGGTGCTGAGCCTGGGGGTGCTGAGCCTGCTCGTGTGGCGTCTGGAGGGACTGGGCCTGGAGGTCCTTCGGGTGCTTCGTCCCGGCGGGAGTTACTCTCTCCACAGGAGCTGCGCGAGTGGTTTGCTCAGCGTTGGAGCCGTACTGCTGGAGCTGGAGGTGCTGCTGGTGCTGGAGGTTCTACTGCTGCTGAGGGTGCTGGTGCCACGGGTCCCGGAGGTGCTCGTACTGGAGGTACTGGAGCTGCTGGGCCTGCGGGTACTCCTTCTGCTGGAGCTGGAGCTGGAGCTGCTGGGGGTGTTGGCGCTGGAGGTGCTGCTGGTGCTGGTGCTTCTGAGGGTGCTGGTGTTGGTGCTGCTGGAGTTGGTGCTGCTGGCGCGGCTGGAGCTGGGGGTGATACTGGAGCTGGAGCTGCTGGCGCAGCTGGAGCTGGGGGTGCTACTGGAGCTGGTGCTGCCGTTCGTGGTGCTGGCGCTGTTCCTGCTGGTTCTGGGGGTGCTGCACGGCCGCGGCCGTACTTCGTTCCGCTCCTTGAGCAAGTTCTTGGTCTTCCGCCCTCTACTAGTCCTGCTCCTCTCTTAGAGTGTCCGCCGCCTGTCCAGTCTGAGTCACAGTTACAGCCAGCCTCCCCACTGCCTGCTCCTTCTCCCTACACTGGTCCTACTGGAGGTCTTGCTGAGCGTCGTGAGCCTACGTCTCGTCCTGCGTCGCCTGTCCGTGCTGCTCGCACTAGTGGTCGTGGTTCGCGTCCGCGTCCTCCCCCTGTCCCCGGCACGCACCGGATGTCTCTGCGTCCGTCCACTGCTCCGCTGCGTGCCCCTTTGCCTTCTCCTCCTGAGTCCTCTCTTCCTGCTCTTGCTGACCCAGAGTCGGACTCCCTTCGTGCTGCCAGTCCTACTGTCTCGCGTCTCCTTGCTACTGTTGTCACTGACCCTTCCTTCGAGTCCACTGCTGCGTCTGCCTTAGTTGCTGAGCTTGTCGACTTTGCTGCTCGCTGTCGTCTAGACTACGCTGCTAGTCTTGTCGCTGAGTCTGAGTCTGTCTGTCCTCCGTCCGTCGGGGGTGAGTGTGCCCTTGGCACGGACGTCCTTGAGGACAGGCAGGAGGAGTTCCAGTGCTTTGCTGCTGCTTCACCTCATCTCGTGTCCATGCTGCTGGCCCTTGAGGGAGACCCGGATGCACCAGACATCCCGACTCCGCGCTCTTACGCGGAGGCGATAGAGGGTCCCTACTCCTCTCAGTGGCAGGCAGCCATGGACGCAGAGATGGCTTCCTGGAAGTCCACAGGCACATACGTCGACGAGGTTCCCCCACCTGGGGCGAACATCGTCAGTGGCATGTGGATTTTCAGGGTGAAGCGGCCGCCGGGTTCTCCGCCTGTCTTCAAGGCGCGTTACGTGGCTCGAGGCTTCAGTCAGCGGCAGGGAGTTGACTACTTTCAGACCTTCTCTCCCACCCCGAAGATGACCACTCTTCGGGTGCTACTGCACATAGCCGCTCAGCGCGACTACGAGCTTCACTCTCTTGTCTTCAGCACTGCTTTCCTACAGGGTAGCCTGCACGAGGAGATCTGGCTGCGCCGCCCACCTGGCTTCACTGGGTCTTTTCCTCCTGGCACCCAGTGGAGCCTGCGGCGGCCAGTCTATGGTCTCCGCCAGGCACGTCGTGAGTGGCACGACACACTGAGGACTACACTTGCGGCTCTTGGGTTTGCTCCTTCTACTGCTGACCCGTCGCTGTTTCTGCGCACCGACACCTCTTTGCCGCCGTTCTACATCCTCGTGTACGTCGACGACTTGGTCTTTGCCACAGCTGACACTGCTGGACTCGCCCACGTGAAGTCCGAGCTGCAGAAGAGACACACGTGCACAGACCTGGGTGAACTGCGCAGCTACCTTGGCTTGCAGATCACCTGGGACAGAGCACAGCGCACCATTACCCTGACTCAGTCACACATGGTGCAACAGGTCCTTCAGCGCTTCGGCTTCACGTACTCCTCGCCACAGGCCACTCCTCTGTCTACTCGCCACTCGCTCTCAGCTCTGCCTTCGGATGAGTCCGTAGAGCCGAGTGGCACGTACCCAGAGCTTGTTGGCTGCCTCATGTACCTGATGACCTGCACACGACCTGACCTTGCATACCCTCTCAGCATTCTGGCACGCTATGTTGCTCCTGGGAGACACCTCCCTGAGCACATGGCTGCAGCGAAGAGGGTGTTGCGCTACTTGTGCAGTACGTCGGGCATGGGGCTAGTGCTTGGAGGGCGGAGTCCAGTGGTCCTCACTGGTCACGCAGACGCGTCTTGGGTTGACGACTTGGCTACGCAGCGGTCGTCACGGGGTTACACCTTCAGCCTTGGTTCCGGTTCTGTTTCGTGACGGTCTACCCGCTCGTCTTCTGTTCTCAGCTCGAGCTGTGAGGCTGAGATCTACGCAGGGGCCATGGCTGCACAGGAGCTACGCTGGCTCACCTACCTGCTGACTGACCTTGGAGAGCCGCCTCGTTCTCCTCCAGTTCTGTACGTAGACAACAAGGCCATGCTGGCCTTGTGTCGGGAGCACAGACTGGAGCACAGAACGAAGCACATTGCTCTTCGCTACTTTCTTGCTCGTGAGCTGCAGCAGCGTGGTCAGCTGCGCCTTGCTTACGTGGCCTCTGAGGCCAACACTGCTGATATCTTTACCAAGGCACTTCCGCCTTGTGATCATCAGCGCTTCTGTACGATGCTAGGTCTTGTGCCTACTTGGCCTCACTTGCTCACTTCTTGACCTTGCTTGTACTGTGATCTTTCTATACCTGCACTTGCTTGTTTACCTTTATATATGATCTTGCATGTGAACTGGCCTTGTGGCCTTGAACTTGTGCTCGGAATGTGTGGTGACGTTGTGATCCACCCTGAGCTTGCTTTGCTTTGCTTGACTGGTCTTGTGACCTCTTGTTCTCCCCCACTTTGCCTATAGGGGTGTGTCAAACTCATATGCTATAGTCTGTGTAGGCTGTAGTGGGGTAGACAATATGGGGTACAACACTTTTAGGTTTTCCTACTTGTACCCACCTGCTTGCTAGTTCACTCATCCCTCGTTCTTTCACACCTTGCTCCGCTTCGAGCTCAACGCATCATCTCCGCCGCCCGCCCTTTTCGCACCCTTCTTGTCGGCCTCGTTGGCCGACGGCGACGACCCAAGCCGACCAGGCGCCAGATTGCCGATCACCTCGGTTATGAGGTTTAACCCGGACGCAACAAACGACTTCTGGGTGGCCTCAGTCACCGCCTTCAACACGTCCGCCTTGAAAGACTTCATGAGCTCGTCCGGGAAGGCTGGCGGTGGGGCGGGCGGCGTGGGCGGCGGCACGACGACGCGTTGAGTTACCGCGGCGGCGATGTTGGTCTGCGCGGCGACTAGGTGCTTCGATATGTATTCCTCCAACCCCTTCCTCGCTTCGTCCACGTGGTTGCCCATGGCGACGACCGCGTTCGCACGTTGCACCGCCATAAACCCCTCCGGATCCTCTAGATCATCCAACCAGCACTCCGCCCTCTCGGCGTACGCCTTCATCGCATCCCATGCTTCACCCATGTTGGCGGTGATGTTCTCCGTGACGGTCGTCGCCATGGTCAAGGACGCGTCCATCAGCCGACTCGCCGCGTCCTGGACGGAGGCGGCGACCTGGTCGGCCAACGACCTGAGCTTGTCCACGAGGCGGCCAATCCCCATCGCAAACCTGTCCACCCGACCCCTCTCAACTCCGAGCGCCGTCTCCAGACGAGCATTTTCAGCCCTCAGCCACCTGTTCTCCTGTCGCAGCTGCGCGACGACGGCCGGCGTTGCCTGCCGACCAGCTGCTGAGGAACCCGGTTGACGGCCCGCCTCTACCGCTCCACCCCGGCGTTCCACCCCTGCGTTCCCTGTGGTGGTCTCCACGCCCGTCGGCGTCGGGGCCGCGGCATTATCCTCCTCCTTCGCGTCGCCAACCACATTGCCGACCACGTGCGCCTCCTCCACGCCGACATTCTCCACATCGGCACCCTCCCCTCCCTCGTACACAACATCCGCCGACCTCCCACCCGTTCCCTCCACGGCCGCCGCCGCTCCCTCCACGGCCACCGCCGCCGCTCCCTCAGCATCCTCCATCTCGAATTCGACCCAGGGGAACTCTACCTCCTCCTCCCCCTCTTGCTGCTTCTCCCCCTCCGCCACCTGCTCCACCGACCCTAAACCCTGCTCCACGGCCTCCGCCGCCGCCGCCGCCGCCTCCTCCTCCTCCTCCTCCTCCTCCTCCTCCTCCTCCTCCTCCTCCTCCTCCTCCTCCTCCTCCTCCTCCTCCTCCTCCTCCTCCTCTTGCCCATGCCCCTGCTCACGCTCCTCACGCTCCTCCTCGTTATCATCCTGATCATCGGTGTCATCCTCCTCCTCCTCCTCTTCCTGATCCGCGGTCCTCGCCACAGCCCTTTCTGCCTCCTCATCTGCCTTGTCGACGCCGTCTCCGGCCTCTCCGCTGGTGTCGGCGACACCGACTGCTTGGGATGCCGAAGGGGGCTCCGCGGCGTCGTCGTCATAGGCGTCGGCAGCAACTCCGACATGGCCTGACCGTTTGCGTGCGACGTGTTCCTTGATGAATGTGATCATCCGAATCCGCAGCTCCTTCAACCCCGAAACGAGGACCTTGTCCATGCTGGTCGCACTGCGACGGTCGTCGCCGGTCAGGCGATCCATCCTCTTCACCACCCAGCACAGCGCGCTCATTGATAGGAGGCCAGAGCCCGCGTCGCTGTCCCGGACGGTGTCGCGCACTTTCTGCAAACAACAGACCAGAGAGCAAGGATGAGCACCGACGGCGGCAATGGCATCGCGCTAGGACGGTAAAACGATCGGTACTCACATCTCGAACGGGTTCATCGCAGTCGGCGGGCCTGTCCGCCACCTCTTCAGTTGAAGGCTTCGGCCACTCCCACTGCCGGCCATCGCGGCCGAGCTCGGCCAGCACCGCCGCCCGGAAAAACCTGAAGCAACATGGCACATATCGTCAGTAAACTTGCTTAACGCCCAGCGGCGAAATTGCATGCGTCGTCGACTACACTATCGAGCTCACTTCAGCACGCGGATCGCCTCGTCGCGGTGCCACTGCTTCACGGTCTGCGGGTCAAAGTGCCGGACCGAGGTCCTGATCGTCTCCACCCCGGCCCGCAACAAGTCGCCGGGGTACAGGATGACCACGACGCTGCAATGTGCTCCTGGAAGCGGTGCGATGCTGCACAGGCTAGGCACCACGACGTCGATCAGAACGGAGCAGCGACATAGGCATCATGGCACACCATCATGACTTAGGCTCACCTCGAATGCAGGGGGATAACAGCTACGTCGGCGTCGAACACCGTAGCAAAGCATGAGTGGTCTTCCTTGCCCATCGCCGCCCGAAGCCGGCCGAGTCCTATCGACCACAATCGCATGTTGGCCGGCGCCGCGCGAATCCATGCGTGCCTGCACGCATGCATGGGTAGTAGATGTGTGTGAGGACGTGCAAGGCACGACGGGTGGACACGTGGGTTCTGGAACCGACAACTGACGGTGCACCACCGTCGCGACGTTGTAATCAATGGCGCCTACCGATGCGGGCACCGACCTACTGTAGTGATCGGAGTCCGGTGCCGACCTACGGCTGTGTGCGTCACCGAGTAGTGATCTAAACCCTAAACTAGTAGCGCCGACCAAAACGTGGGACAACCCTAACAACGTCGACCTGCAAGGTATCCAGAGGTCGACGCCGACATCCCAATACGGACACTCACTTGAGGCCGAATCCCAAGCAACGGGCGTTGAACTCTAGCCTATGGTCTACGAGGACGGCGTAGTCGTGTTCGTCGAGCTTGGCAGTGAGTCCACTACCCAGGTCGAGATACAGAGGGAAGTCCTGCGAAGTCGGCGTCACTTCGCCGACTTTCGGGGCGGCCGACATGGCGGGGAAGGGAAGCGGCTACAGGCTAAGGGACGTGAATGTGGGAGAAGGCGCAGAGCTGGGGAAAAGGTGGAAAGGGAAACGAGATGCCAAAAATGAGGAGCGATGCCCCCTTCCACCAAGAAAAGGGGGTCGGTGCCCCACAGGAACAGTCGAGGCATCGCCCGGCCCTCGTGGTGCCTGCCTCGGCGGGGTTTGGCGGGCTCGTGCACAAGTGGCACAAGTTCTCATTCACCGCCGAGCCAGCAAGTCGATGTCACGTCCCGTGGCCTCGGTCGGCCATGGGACGCAATTTCGCATGCGTGCGGTGCGTCGTTTCGTCCGACACGTATCGATTTCGGAGCGGATCGCAAAAAATGTGCGCCGCGAAGCGATCGAAATCGGATTCGCAATTTCCCAAATTCTGCGTGTTGCCCGATGCGAAGTAGCGGGCGAACACGTGGCGTCACCGCAACGGGTCGCGAAATTGTCGAGTGTCCCGAGGGGGCCGCGAATTTTCGCCTGGCCCTCGCCTGCCCGTCCGGGCAGGCCGCGATGGGTTACTAGGACCTCGCGGGCAGGTGGCACGTGTGGGCTGCCTTCGCGCGAGGGTAATTTTCCCACTCGCGAGCTGTCGCCAGTTCGCCGACCCCACCCGGTAACGTGAGCCGCTGTTCACATTCGGAGCGGGGCTGCGGGGCGGCGGTCGTGCGCTCGGCCCAGCCCTGGGCCAGGCTGGCGGGCCCGCACGCGCGTCAGTGTTCCGCCCCGTCAGCCCAAGCTTTGACGACCCCCCTCGACGACACTGGCAAATCCGTTCTGTCGACCGAATTCCGCTGGGGTGTTCGGCAAAGGAGCAAAAGGGGAGCAACAGTATAGGGTCAAGCTTACTGTAGGAGAGAAACCCGTCGATGGAGTAACGGCTGGGCAAAAAGGCCAACGGGAGAATTGGTGAAGGTCAAGCTTACTGTAGGAGAGAAACCTGCTGGGGCTGGGTGAAAGTGTCCAGGGCGTATGTTATACATGATGCCCTTTTCTTTCCCCTCCTCTCTCTAGCAAGTGCTAGCTAGGGCAAATTGGGACTGTTCATAGTAGTAAGGTTACCAACCCAACTACACTACCCAATTTTCGGGCAGCCCGGCGTGTTTTGTCTAGGAAACCTGGCTAACTTATTCGCGGTCAAGAAAACGGGTGTTTTGTCGTGGGCTTGTAAGATGTGGGCCGTTGGCTGTGAACGTCGACCGCTCCTCCTATCGGTTGTCATTGGGCCAGTTCAGAGTGGGCGGTTGAGTGAGCATTAAAGTGTATCAGGGCTATGACCCTGTTTTGATTGAAATTAAGAGTGTTGTTTTGAGAAAACCATAATTTTCACAAGGTACCTTTCGGACCAGTCCGTAACACTGAAGGGTGATTCCTAAGATAACTCGGAACTCTCCAGAACGTTTTCGAGAGCCCAATCGGGTCTGATCAGCTCTGATTTGATCGGGTCAAATTGCTTGTGAAGACAATGCTCGAGCCGCCCGATCAACAATGTCTTTCGTAGAAGTTTAGGAACTCCTCCACGGCAAACGCAAAAAGATTACATTGAATTTCTCTCCAACTCATGCGAGATTGGCGACCAAACGCCACCTAACGAAAAAAAAGTTTCTCTGTAATGCCGTCAACCCCAAGAGAGTTCTCGCCATGTGTCATGTATGAGCGAGGGGTTTGCGAGACCTAGTACAACAGTGTAACATTTTGTAATCTTCGTCATGGCTCCCGATCACATGCAATTAAGTGATTGAGGGTGATTGAGCAGAATCGCTTTTTATCGAGGTGAAAATCGAGTCTCATCGGGTTGGGGCTATCAGTCGATCGCGATCACCTGATTGCCCCAAATTGCCTGAAATTGGCTTCCATGCTTCCTGGAAGTTGTTGGCCGCCTCTGATCTGTCGAAGATAAAGGCCCCGCCTCGCTTGGGCGCAGCCGATCTCGCCGTCGACGAGAAGTTCTCGACGGATTGGTCGAAAGAAATAGGCTTCTGCTGTTCGACGGAAGTTGCGGTCGAGCAGGCTCTGCTCGACAGAACCAGGTCGACGAGCTCTGGTCGACGATCTCTGCGTGACGAGATCCTGTCGAAGAGCGCTGGTCGACGATCCTAATCGAAGAACTCTGGTCGAAGAGTTTAGGTCGAGGAGCTCTGCCCGGCAAACGCTTTTCGACCGAGCGATGTCGAGCTGTTCGACCGAATTCGCACAGGTGTGCGAAACTCTGCGGAGGCGTGCGAACTTTTGTCCAGGAGGTCTTGGCGAAGTTTTACCAGCGGAATGGCATCACGTGGTCGCCGGTGCACACCTAACGAAACCGACGACACGTTTTCTACCTGGCACCTACGCAATGTTCCTGACGGTGAAACCGCCAACCTGCAACTACTTGGTAGGTGTGCACCTCTGCGCAAATAGACAACCTGCGACTGCACTGCTGGCTGCTGCAGTGTTGGCAGGCCGCTCTTCTGCTGCGCTGGCAGATTTTGCCCGTGCTAGGTGTTGCAAGCTATTCTAGACATATCCTTCTGCATGCCTTAATTGTACTATCAACTTTTCAATTGTTCTTTCAACTTTCCTTAGTGGAATTCTTGCCAACTTTCCTCAATTGTTAGGTAGGGTCGAAAAACGTTACACTAGGAAGAAATTATCGAGGTACAAAAGAGAGAGGGTTGGAAACCCTAATTGAACTAAGAACTACGAAATGAACCTAAAATGAACTTGAATGCGTAACTCTCTCGAAGCATGGAGAAATAATATAAGAACACCAAAATAAAGACCAGAGCGAGCTCTAGCCTACTACAACAGTCGAGGTGTCGTAGGCGGGTGTGCCTGCGTCCTCCCCGACGCCGGCCCATACTTCGCCTTTCACACCTCCAGCGACAGCGTCCGTAGAAGATCACCTCGACGGACGTGATCACTAAGTTGGCGGTCAAGTCCAGCACCTCGCAGCCCTTGCTCTCTGGCGTCATGCCCAGGTGAAGCCCCCAGCAAGCCTTCGGCGCCAGCTTCCCACCGCACTGCTGCTAAAAAACCATGAACTGCACCATGCAGCCCCACACCCGTGCCAGCATGAGGTCGGGCTTCTTCCCGGTCAGTAGCTGGTATGGCGTCGTCCCCGGCGGCGTCGTCAACCGCTCCAAGCAGTTGCGCACCCAGACAGTTTGTCGTAGAACGAGGTGCCACCAGTGGTGCTGCACACCCATATGCAGCAGCATCGTCCGCACGGAATCGACGACTGTGCGCATCTCGTGCTCAGCCATGCTGTTCTGCTGCGGATTGTAGGGGCGCGTCAGGTCGTGGATGATGCCCTTCCCGTTGACGAAGTTGGTGAACTCTTTTCCAAGGAACTCCCCTCCTCGTTCTAAGCGGAGCATCAGCACCATTTTCTTTGTCTGCCGCTCTACCAGCACCAGCCACTGTTGGAACGTCCGCAGCACATCGCTCTTCTTAGCGACCGGCATTGCCCACGCGAACCGAGTGTGGCGATCCTTCAGCAGCAGGAAGTACAAGCTGCTATCCTTGGCAGCCACCCAAAAGGGCCCGTACAAGTCAATGTGCACGACAGCCAGTGCCTCTTTGGCGTCCGAGCCCTTTGCGGGGAAGGTGTGCCGCGCCAACTTTCCCCCGACGCACGAGACATACGGCGGGTCTGCTCCGGTCAACGGCACGATGTCGAACCCAGTAGCAACTTCATGCTTCGCCGAGCACTTGATCGTGTCGATGCCGACGTGCGCGAGCCTCGCATGCAACCGGTCAGGGGTCGACTTCGTCGCCGAGACAATCGTCCGTAGGGCCACTACCTCGGTCGACGGTGACCGCGTCGAGCAGGGGCGAAGGTCGGTGCAGAGGACTTGTCCGGTATAGCGTGCTCGACCGAGCACCTCTCGGTCGCGGCAACGAGCAGCATCTCGTCGCCGTCGCCCTGCAGCTGCACTCCGCTCTCCGTTAGTTGGCCGGCTGACAGCAGGTTCGCATGAACTCTCGGAACGTAGAGCACATCGGGGATGAGGACCCGCTTCCCTGCCTGCCCTTGCAGAGCAACGATTCCGCGACCCTCGACAAGCTGCAACGCCCCGTTGAAGCCGCGCACGTGCTTCACACTATCGCTCGGTGCCTTGTCGAGCAGCACCGCCATCGGGTTGGCCTGCACAGCTGCCGCCACTGTCTAGAAATCGTCGCCAGCCTCCAGCGCCAGCGAGACTGTCGGCTCCACCACGCCGACCATCGAGCACAACGCCTCCCCGTCCCCTCGGCCCTTGCCGCTGGAGTTGTCGCCATCCTTCGTCGACGACGTCGTCTTCGACGTCTACTTCTCCTTGCGCGGCTTTGCATCTCGACGGGGGCGACAACTGGCTGATCGACTGCGGCCACCCTTGTTGTCATCCTCGTCGCTGTCGTCGTGTTTGGGACATTCGTAGGAGAGACGGTTAGGGTCGTGGCAGATCCAGCACTCCCGCCTTCGACCACCACCTCCACGGCCCTTGTCCC